TTTTTTTTTTTTTTTTTTGTATAATTTATAGCTATAACTGGCCTCCTTACATCTCCGGCATATGCTGTACAGAACTCATAAAATTTTCAATTCAAATATTATTATTAAAACTATCTGAGAATCGTACGAGTTTCTCGGTAAACTAAGACTGATTACAAATTTCTTTCGCAATATGCACAATATACTGGATATCCAAAAACAAGGAATTCCCTAAAAAATAAGTTGTGAAATTTCAAGCAAATGCTTAAGGATTGTAAATTCTAATTAATAGATACAATATCTTTCGGTCATAAAAAAACGGATGTACACACGAAATAAAGATCATGGCGCCATAGCGGCGACATCGACTTCTAGAACAAAATTGAAATGCCGCTACTATGGCGGCACCGACCGCAAAGGGCTAAATATCGGATGTAGTTGATTTGTGCGAGCGTAGTCTCAGGCATGAAAGTCACTGTATACTAGATATCCTGAGGATTTCTAGTAAGTGGAGTGAAGGCCTCGGTTTTTGATGCTGTCTATGATTCTGTTTTCGGAGAGTTGTATCAGTCTTTTTACTACCACAGTCAGGGTTTTCTCTGTATTCCGTGTGTGGGTGTAGAACTCTATATTGTCTCTTAGGCAGCTTGCTTTAAAATATGTGTAATCATTAAGGTTGGTGAATGTTATTTTTAATTGATCAGAATCTAGCCTGGAAAGCATTCTGGTATTTGCTTCTCAGAGCGTTTAGGAATTTCAAGTGGTTGCACATAGATAAGTGAGAGTTTGGTTTTTTGGAATTTTTTTGGTATTGGCTAAAGTATTTGTGGGAGTGACGTTGGTGTTGATACTTGTGTCCATGTTGTGTTTTGAATCTTGATGTAATAAATAATCGGCAAATATGCCGTATCTGGTTTTGGTTGGGTTATCATGGAATTAACGATATCCATACCTTCTGTTTTGTCGATTTTAATCGTTAGAGGTGCGTCTATGTTTAGGACTTGAAAAGATTTAGTCTGCATATTTCTTTGAATATTTTATTATATAAAATTTAAATATGAATAATATGCAAATCTTTATGGAAGGCAAATAAGAAAACAATGTATTTAACAAATGGGGAATTATATCTTATATTATCTTAATATTTTCTAATATACTGTGCTACTAAATGCATTTCAATTAAGCAACAGAGAAACTGCAATAATAATTATAGCAATAGACATATGTACAATAATATCCGCATTAAAGGTAGCTTTAATTATTTACTTCGCTATAAATTTAATATGAAATTAACAAACATAGATAAATAAAAAATTAAAGTTAAGTAAAATGCAAAAAATATCTTACTTTGAATGTAAGAAAATGACACAATATTGTTAGATCCTAAATTTAAACATTGATTTTTATTAATATAGAAACAACATATATATAATAAGACATACTAGAAAATTAATGAGAAAGTTAATTCTATTTAAGGAAATAATAATATTCTAGATAACGATTTCAATAATAATCTTCAACATGATATGTATATATATGAATATATTATACATATATGTATACGTATACATATATGAATTTTATATATATATATATATATATATATATATATATATATATTACGTATACATATATGAATATATTTAAAAAATTAATAACGAAGTTTAAATGTCTTTCTCATTAATTAATAAGAAACTCGAAGATAATCTACAATCTTTTGAAATTCGTAAAAAGAAATAAACTTTTATTTTACATAAAAATTTGAAAATAGGAATATATATATTTTAGGAAAAAAATAGATAAAGACGTTGATTGATTTTTCGATAGTCTAAAATACTTGAATATATTAATGATTCGTAATATGATCCAAAAATAGTCGATAACGAGTATTTGTGTAAAATTTCAATCATATTAAACATAAATTGAAACTTAGAATGCTTGGAGATCTTGAAGATCTTGATAAGTCGTGATTGTCTTAGACATTTTGAAAATCATGAGAATTGTGATGGCGTGGTAAGTATTTACACTTTGCAAACTTTCTAATTACTTTGGTCAAACATTATCATTTACATGAAATGTTTAAAAATGTCTAAACAGTTCGAATTATCAATAAATAATATTATAATAATTAAAATAATATTATGATATAATATTAACAGAATTTATGATTTATTTGTTTAAATATTAAATTGGTTAAATATTCATGATATGTATTGTGAATTATACAAATAAATAACAACTTACGATAACTCGAATTTTCTAATCAAAAATCAAGATTTAAAATTTTCAAGTATTAAGTTTTGAATAATGTTCGAAATAATTCGAATATGTCAATAAATATACAATATAGATTCCAAGCTATTTGTAGACATGTACAAAAAAATTACAAGAAATTTAGTATAAGTACAGTGTCTCGTTTCATCCTCTTATGTAATTATTTCCTAAACTATTGATTATTAGAAAAAAAAAAATGTTTCAAATAAAACTTGTTCTGTTCCAAAGCGGATATCTTACGATAGTCATCAAATTTTATCTAGGTAAAATCTTATCCGAGTTTTCGAAGTCATTTCCATTTTTCAAATTGAATCATATATTTTTCTTATGCTTTTATTAAAAAAAGATCTACATATCGAAAAATTAAAAAAACTGATAGTGACGTTGTGTATGCAGGAAAAATTTCAAAAAAACCTGCCTATCCTTATGACATTTTAGAGAAGTGAGTTCATAGAGGTTCTCTGAACGCTGCCACGTGCTTAGGGAGCCTTGCTTTTATCTTAAGTGGTAGTTCTTGTTGTAGTTTCCTGTTCCTAATTAATGGGTTGTTGTGAGTGTGGTCATATGCTTGTGAAATGGAATCTTGTATGTATTCGTGCATTGTTTGTATTTTAGCCATCTTGTGTAATACTATTATGGGTGTGTCGCGTGGCTTGTTCAGTATAATTCTGAGGAATTTGTTCTGTAGTTTTTGCGTTTTGTTGATGTGCGTTTTGGCTGCTGCGGCCCATACCTGGTGTCCGTACGTGGTAATCCGTCAATGCATGTTTTGTATAGAATAATTTTGATTTCCTTCTTAAGTCTGCTGTTTTCGGCTATGAGTGGGTAGATTTTTTTTAGTGCGGGATATGCGAGTTTAGCTCTTGCTTCAATTGCTGGAGCCCAGGTCATCTTACTGTCCAGTGTGACTTCTAAGTATTTAACCTTGGTAGTCCAAGAGATTTTGTGCACGTTTACTGTGACATATTCCGTGAGTTTTATCATTTTTCGTGTGAATGTGATTGCCTACGTCTTTAGTGTATTGATCATTTGCATGTACTCTAGTATTTGCTCCATGTGTTCTTGTACCTGGTTGCTTGCGACGGGCGGATGTGTATATAGCCCTGTTGTCGACATAGATTACTCGGTATGTCTTGCTTGTTTTGGGAATGTCGTTGATGTATATGTTGTAAAGATGTATATGTTGGTCTTAATGTCAATCCTTGTGGGACTCCAGATTTGATCTCTTTTACGCTAGAGTTGGTGCCGTTTATTAAAACATACATCCTTCTGTCCGTGAGGTAATTCTTTATTATCTTAATTTATTAACTATAACTTCCATTGGGGTTCCTATTTTGTACAGTTTGTAGATTAGTGCGTCATGCCAGACCGAGTCGAAGGCTTTCTCAATGTCTAGTAATGTGTGCTGTGTGTTTTTATTGAGTGCTGTGGTTGCGTATTCGGTGACTCGAAGTAGCTGTTGAACACATGAGTATCTTTCCTTAAAGCCATTGTTGTAGGTTGATGATATTGTTTTCATTTAGATGTTTAAGGAGGTATATGTGTATT